CGAGATCGAGCGCGTGCCGATCCCCGCGTCGCGTGATCGTCGTTTCCGGACTTGTTGAGGGGCTGTTATGAGCACAAGTCAAGAGTGCAACTCGACAAGGCAAGAATCGGCGTACCGCGAGAGCCGTTCTCAGCCCTCGATCGGAAGCCGCTGTTGCCGCGCCGACAATCAGATTTTCTTACAGCCGTATCGGTCGCGTTCGATCGGCATGGAACGAGACTACAAACGGCGGGAAGCGAAACAAGATATTGAAAGATATATTTAGAGCGCCGCTCCGCGCTACTTCCAAAGTTCAGGGCGTGTGCCCTTATTGCTCGGTCGGCATTCTACGTCAGGGGATCTCAGCCGATCCGACTCTTCTTCCGGTGACGCAGAGACCACTGTGATAACTTCATGGATATTTCCCGAGTGGAACCGGGACTCACTTACTCAGACTCGGATTCCCAACAGGCGGGCGGTCATATGAGCTTCGCTCCATGGAAAACCATTTGCGCCCATATGTGTAACCCATATGTTCCATAACCCACATGTATGAATTTTGAGCATTGCGGTTTTGAGAAAATGTGGGTGTAATCAATGTGATCGTCGGCCTGAGCTCCGAGTGTGATCGGGCCGAATGCCCCGAACATCTCTCAAGTTCGACGATTTCCCCGTGTCCATCTCGGCGAGCTGAGCTTCGAGGCGATTAGCTGAAGTGTTCTGCATCGAAACCAGATCGACTGGACGGCGTCTTAACGTCACAGTGACTGCCATGATAATCGAGCCTTCGACAGCTCTCCATGACCGAGGGCGTCTGAGCTTCGAGACAAAAGGAGGAAAGTTTCTCCTTAAAGTGAGGAAGTTGTACGAGCGATCCACCGGAGAGCGCTTCTTTGTCATTATCGAATCCATCAACATAAGTACCACATGGCAAAAGGAGCGTCCGAAGTTTCTATCGCCGAGGAGCGTGCGCGCATCATCATTCTAATAACTCGTCGTTTTATAAACTACTGCAGGTTTTCCATGATTATATTCGTGCTGCACATTTCACATATGGACTCGATGACAGGGATTGTTTGGTTGGGACCTTTGTTTATTCTGGTGGATCTCGAAGCCAGCAGACTGTCGGTTCAAAAAGAAGTCTGTATGGAAGTTGCGGAGCTTTTCCACCGGCTCTCGGAGTTTTCCCCAAACGCGTCATTAATGAATATTATCCGTCATCTCTCTCTCTTCAGTATAAGATTCTCGCCCCGTGCGTTTTTTTCTCGCTAAGATTAGAGGGTCTGACAGATCAATGCCATGATGCTCTCATTTTTGGCGAGACTTCATCACTCTGACCAAGACAGGTTTCTCTGCGCTTTCGTCCCGAATACCGCTTTGCCCATGCGGGATGCTTTCCCCCGCTCTATAAACGTTGTATCAAGATAGCTAAATATAAAACGTGAGCATTCATAACCATGTTAAAACATCTCGAGGAAAAACTGGTAAAAAAAATTAGAGACGACAAACAAGAACGACGACTTATTAATGGTGACAGAACGGCACTGTACAGAAGAACAAAGAGCGACTCTGTCGATGTCGAAAGGCAGCTCGTTCAGCGATGCACTGACTTAAAGTGTCTCAAGAGTGAGTTTCTCCTCATCTCTCGTTCGTTGAGAGCTTCCCATTAAGAGGATGCTCGCGCCCGTTTGTCCAAGACTGCACGACGGGAAAACATTCCAGGCTCGTTGTTCCAGAGGAGAGGCAACCTGGAGAGACATCGAAAGAGGAAGAGGGAGAAGAAGCGATTCCAAGAATCGAGCTTCGTTGATCCGGGCCACTCTAAATGCGACGGGCCGCGTCCGTCGAGGGAAATTCCAAATCATTTGTTTCGTTCTCTTAGTAGGGGAAGCGAAAAGGAAAACTTCAAGCGACTCTAAATTTAGAAACTCGGATGAGCTCTGGAAAGGGAATCTGCGTCCCGTAGCCCTTCGACCAGCTGGAGCTAATTGCTGGGGCCGAATCGGGTCGGACAACTCAAAGAAAATGCTCTTAGTTAGTTGGAATTTGCTGTCTGCACGAAGGACGTCATTGCTGGCAATATTCCGCCTGGCGGAGAACAGACCTTGGAGGGCTCTCTCAGTCGTTTCTGAGAGCCTCGGCCTTCTTCCTGCGAATCTCGGATCCTTCGAAGAACCTGTTCGGGTGATATCGGAACATCGGAAAAGCGAATATTCTTGCCCGTGACTGTCGCCTGGGCGCTCTCGCTTCCGCCGGACAATGTGGTGGGCGATCCGCAGCCATTAGTTGATTTCATGTATGCTCACAGTGGATCTCATCGAGGATCAATCAAGTCTTCCTACATATGTCTATTCATGAGATCAGTAGATAACACGCTTGGCCAAATCGAGAGCGAATCGACAAACCTGGAAACGCACTCACGCATGAAGCTAAACGATTCGTGCATCGGTCGTGCAAGAAATATCTAATAGCTACGAATGCCACGAGCCCCTCAGCCCCTCAGATCTTCACGCTGTTCAGGCAGGACTTCGATGAGGGCAAGCGCACTCCCGCTGCGAGATCGATCGGAAACCTTTTTCCCGACTTAGCTCATTTTCCGCCGTCCGCGATCAAACCCCGGGTACCAACGTAAATTAATCTGCGATCCAAGAGACGCGGGGTGGCCCATATCTGAAGTCTGGATCCCCCGCCCGCTCTCACGCGGAATCGAGGGACATCCATCGTCTTGAGGGAGGGAGCCGTTTTTTCCGGATCGCGACACGAAGAGACACTGCAAGCTCTCTGATCAAATGAGGCGAAGGCGAGAGCCATTTGTGGCGGCGCCTGCGTTCCGGAGGACCCGACGCCAAATGCTTCACCATGATCGCTTAATCGAGTTTGAATTCGTTCCGGTTGAAAATGTTCGTTCAAACTTCTGGCAAATCTTCCGAACGATCAAGAACTGAAAATGAAGCCAGTCAGCAGAAGGCGCTCGACGGCCGAAACTTGATGAACAGAGTTTGCGCAAGAGTTATCGAACGAGAGCGAGCGCTATGTAGTTTGAGGGGACGACGCCGACGTCTGGTCCGCCGGTCGGTCAGACGGTCCACCGCCCCCGGATCCGCCTCGTCAGCTCCGACTAACAGCGGAGCCATCATCGGCGAGAGCCGCCGTCCGAGCTAAGGCAGTGAGAGTTAAAAATCAGTTTCGTTTTCGAAAGCCCCGTTCAATCGTGCGAAAAGGGAGAGGTAGACCACCACCTTCAAGTGTAACGAGGACACAGACGAACGCAGCAGCCTTCGTTTCTACGTTGTTCTCGAGCTGGTTCGTGCTTCACGGGTCGTTTGGAAATGAAAGAGAAGAAACATTGAGGAACCTCCCGTCACCGCCGCCCGGTAAACGTTTGCCGCTGTCAGGGGATCCTAATTGCAAGCACGGATGTGCAGCTCGGGAAATTGATCCCTGGGGACTTTCGCGCGCTCTGGATCATCCTCGATAGCTCAGAGTTCGACATTCGGAGTTCTCCGCTTCGCTTCCCGAGCTTTCCTCTGTTCCTGCTCCGGCTCGGTAGCGAGAATGCCGATTCTGCGATCTTCCACCGGCTCATTCCAGGCGGCGAGGAACGCTGACCTTGATCGCAAATAACATATTCATGCTTCGAATATGCCTTTCGATCGGTCCCGAGTTCACTTTCAAGCTCTGAGGTAGCGCACTTTGTAACGCGGAAATCTCTGCGAGGTTCGGCCTCGCACCCCTTGTCAATAAGAATAAATGGAATCCCTAAAGTAACTCAAATATCGAATGGTCTTACGCTCCTGTCGAACGAAAATAAATCAGGACCGTGTCCAGTTCCCTGGTTTGGATCGATTTCCATTCCAAAACTTCGAGAGCTCTGCTCGGAATGGTCCATACCGAAATCAGACGACCTTCGCTGACGGAACCAGAGTTTGATTAACTCCGTATAGTCGGCGGGGACCGGTCCGACGAGCAATCTACGGATTCATCGAGAGAGCGAGGACAGAGGCGCAAGCAACCGTCTCTACCCTCGGCCCGACCGGAGGAATCGGGACACCGCTCCGCCTCGAATACCCAAGATCCGGAGGTCCAGAGCGTTTTTGCGGACCATGTTTTTCTACCTTCTTGAAAGAGGACCGATCGAATCGATTCGACGGGAACTAATAATTGAGAAAGTTGCTCCCGGACGAAGATGTGTTTTTTCATTGAGCTTTTTTTGCGGCTCGCTCTTTATTCTCGTGTGGGCTCCTTGTTTTTGCATCTTGCTCAGCAGACGTATATTTCCTCGGCAAACTAATTAGGAAGAGTTGCAAGAAACGAGCGACGCATACGACAGTCGAGCGAAAGCTCGGACGTGATACTTGCATTCAAAGACGTATCTCGCTCCGCTGTCGAAAAGTTTCGGAACCGACAAAAAATGTTTTGACACGTTGCGATGAGCGGGCAAGACCTCATTTGAATCATGGAGGACAGCACCGTCAAGCTCCATGGACTTCGCGGAGCTGGTGAAATGCCGCCCTTCGATGCATTCGAGTCGATCGAAATTAGTGCGAAAACGGGATCCGGGGACGGAACAAAAATGAAGGAAACAATTCGTTTGCGTTGAGTCATGCTTCCATTTTTTATTTACATTGCGAATCGATGAACATGGATTTTGTGATCTACCAAACTAAATTGTGTATCTTACAAGATGGCGACTGCGTAGTGACCCAACCGGCTGACCATTCCTATCAGATAACCTCACATTCCTCAATACTCTCAAATATTCCGCTCGTTGATCTGCAGCTGATTGATTTCTTGCTCTTCCTCCACGAGCTGCGTTGACTACCTAACATTCATTTCATTCTCTTCTTTCTGTATCACAGGCAACGTATTTTTGTTCGCACGGTCAGTGTCGACATCGATAGTCTCTGTCGAATCAACAAGCTGGTCTGCAACGTTGACGATGCTTCTCTGAGATAAACTCAACTTCAAAACGAAATGTTTCAGAGAGAAAGACTTCTGCGACCTGCCTCTAGAAAGAATGCTCACAGTTGGATTTGTCTCGAGACCAAGTAATCCGTACTCGGCATCTCTTTCCTTGAGAATTTCAACTGCGGGGTTTGGGGCAGCGACGCCGACGGGGGTGGCGCTCGTCTTCGGTAGTTGTTGAGTTGAGAGACCTCACTTTCGTCGTCCACGTCCTCCGGAACTAAACTGTATATGGGTTCCGTGTTGTCCTCACAGCTCGTGGTCTCCTGAACTCGCACTCTCGTAGGACGTGAACTGCTCCGACTCGAGCGCTGCGGAATTCGTAGATAGAATTTATTGGGGCTTCGTTTCGTCTCGGTCAGAGCCAGTCGAAGCGAGGCTCCTCGACGGGCTCGCAAGCGGCCATCACTGACAAGTAAATAAGGAACATCCATCCTGACACTGCCGCGCTTCCACCTTCGCGCTCACTATATCGGCGTTACTTCCTGTTTTGAGAACAGAAAGTGCGAGCAGGGAGAAGGGAACAACGAGAAAGACAAAAACAAAAGAAAGGGGAAGGAATTACGGTACGAACCCCGCTCCTCTGACCGAAGCTGGACGTCTCGCTCGAACTCGTTCCGCTGTTCGAGTAGCCTCCTTGGAGAAGATTCTCCAGCTCGTGGGCTCCCTGAGCGCCTCCGTTCACTGGAAAAGCCCTTCGATGGACTCCGGTTCCGGTTTCGTTTCGCGGCAGACCGACGACGAGGGTCGTTGACGCATACGGACCCGGCATGGAAACCTCTGGCTTATTGGCACACGGTCGCTGAGGCTCGCTGAGAGGCGCGCATTCCCTAAATGTATGCGTGAAATGACGTGTCACTTAGGAAGTCTCTTTGTCTCGACGAACCTCAGCTGACAAGGCCGACAGTGGGCGACTCTTATTACTCACATGGGGTAATTACAATCCATGATATTGAGTTTATTTTCGTAAAGGACCATTTTCTCACGTCCAGGCGGATAGTAGTACTCCGTAGTGGTAGGATGGGCCAGAGCAGCGAAGAAACTGCGAACGGCGCCAATTCGTCCGTAAGTTATAGGGGAAACTGGAGTTACGTGACGCTCCTCGTAATGGTACTAAAATCGCCCTAGTTCGCGAGCTTCCCGAGCGCGTACTTACTTTATGTCTCCGCCCTTTGCGACGGGCACCTCCGTGACGGCAGAAGTTTTGTTCCGCATTTTCCGTAGGACCAGCAAGATTGTGACTGCCACACAAATCAGAATGAGACACAAGATCGCCGAAACTAACAGCAGTAGCCACGGCGACTCTACGAGATCAAGCAGCAGATGACGGTCGCTCCGATGCTCGGCGCCTCCACGAGAAACTTCCACACGGGCAGTGGCTGTGATTGTATCTACACGAATCGAGCAAGAGGAGAAAATTTAGGATTCGCGCCTGGGGCTTGTTGACATCACTGGAATCTCGTTTCCATTTTCCGCGGCACGAGTCTGGCTGAGTGCACTCAGGGAAGGCCTACTGCTGGAAAAAAAATAAAAATCAACTTACCAATGGCTGAAAGAGCGGTGCAGATGTACACCCCCGAGTCTTCGAGTCCGAGTCGGGGAATCAGCAACGTGCCGAACGCATCGACCGAAAGCCGTCCATACGTGTTGTTTGGGAAGAGCAGTTTGCCCGGCTGGGAGTCTCTGCTCCAATAAACGTCCGGTCTCGGATTGCCCGATGCTGCGCAGCGTAGAGCCACGGACGCTCCCATCGAGACGTGTTGACTCGACGGAATCACAGCGAATTGCGGTCGATCTATGGTGAGGATTCGGTGAGTTTCAGAAGCGATCCCGAATCCGGAGGCCGCTCTCGGCGGCCGTCGATTCTCCCTGATTTTATCAATGACCGATCGCCACTTACAGTGTACAGTTAGCCGGGACGTTGACGTGGCTCTGCCGGCAGCGTTCTCGGCCTCGCACGTATAGTTTCCGTGGTCGTCCGGGTTCACGTCGCTTATTTCCAGAGTCGACGTTGTGGACCCTCTAGACTCTTCTAACGCGAGGATCAAGCGGTCGTCGCCGTTCAGCTCTCGAGTGCCGTGCCGCCAACGTACTCTGGGTGATGGATCTCCACCGGCCGTGCAGACGAATCGAACGCTCGCGTGTTCTTTAGCGAGTACGGTTTCGTCCTTGGGTGGAGTGACGATGTGGGGCTTACCTGAAAGAATGAAAATCCCATCACAATTAGCCACAATTGAACAAACACACGAGCGAGCTCACAAATTGAGCTCGCAATTTACTCTAGTCCCGACTCGTTAAGAACGAGTCAAGCCGCTGAATCGAATCATCGCGAGGCGGCCGCACCGAATGTTCGCCTCAAAAGCGAGCAGAAGAAAGTCGAGGGCGCGCTGGAGTGTGCGGGAAAACATGCAATATACTCGTTTTGCTACTAATTATGGCTGCTGCTTCCCGGGAGTCTCTGCTGTTCGCGGAAACAACAACAACACTCTTATTAACAATCGCAGGAATCGTAATGCCGCCACCGTCGTCGCCGTCTCCGATGGAAGAGGTGTATACGCTCGGAAGGAAACTCGCTCGCTCCGGCAGCGATTTCGCCGGAGCTGCGACTCTGCTCGTTGGTTGGTCTGCCTCGTTCGCAGCGATGTTTGGAGCTATGACCGCGCGGATGATTGTTCATTTGAAAGCGAACCAAAAGCGCGCGATCAACCTAAACCGATGTAGCGATCGCGGCGGCCGACCGGCCAAATCGCGCATCTGTTGGCGGATATCTCACAACGGAGTCTGTTGTTGCATGCGCCGGATAACTCGCTTTGTGCATCACAGAAGACAGAAAATTAATGTCGAACCAACGAACGGGCGGACGAGCTGCTTGGACGCACGGGCGGACAACAGTCGCTTGTTGTACACGGAACGAGCAAGGTAAAAATAACACTCACGTTCGTGAATGGATCGAGCACCCACAACACGCCGCATTCTTGAGGCAGTGGAACAACAAGGGCGACATCAGCGATGACGTCGGCAAGGTGACATTACGACTTTTGCTAGAAATGTTCTGGCTCCAGAATCCCGACCTCGATGCCATCCCGCAAATTATGACGTCAGGTATCGAGATCGTGCCGTCGAAGAGCCCGTCCGGAGCTCCCGAGTGTTTGCCAAGGCGACACCATCACCGGGATCAGGGATATGATATGAGCACAACTTTCCACTTTTGAGGTGGAGCGAGAAGAAAATAATTGTGAAAATGATTCTTTCCTCTTACTAACGTCTCATGGATTTCGCTAACGCCCCCAAAGGCCTGCATTTAAATTGGGGGGACGATATCATCGAGGTTCATTGAGCCTGTGAAACGGCAGAGCATTCAAATTTCCGTCGCGCCTAGCTACTGGAATCTCGAAAAACCTCAACCTCGTTTTTCGGAGACTCCTCCCCTGGCTACACAGACTACGTTCAATGTCTCCTAAGGGAATTCCGGATCGAAATCGCTGACTCGGAATGGGAACGCATCGAATCCCGAAATGGGATCGGAGGATGCCGCTTCTCGCTGCGGGAATTCTTCAAACCCGGTCCGTCCCGTGGGTTCTGAACAAAAGCTCGGCAACGATTACATATAATTTTCCCTCCTCTTGTATGATATATCGGAAGTCGACGTCCTGCTGGAGACCTTCCAAGAGACTTCGATCATGGACACTTATTCTCAACGAGACCGCGCAACTCGACTCGCATGAAGCCCTAAGCGTCTCGGCGCATGGAGCCCGGGGCGTCCTCAATGAAGAGCAGATGAGTTCCTCGCGCGGTTGCACCAGAGAATCGAACACCGTACACATCGATTCGGATCCCGAGCTCTCCAGCAGGATCTCGCATAACCCGTTCCCCCTCCGCCCCGAATCTTGTGAGCATCGCATATCACGTTCCTCATCAGGAGGATCAGCTCAGGACGAGGAGACGGTAATGCAAGTACGATATCGGATGCCCCCCCCCCTCCTCTAGCCTGACGTATGTACACCTGACGATAACGCAGACATCACGTGTAATGATCGGCGGTGCTTTTGTTCAGCCCGGCGAGCTATCCCAGCCCGAAACGGCGACCGAATGAGCATATTGCATGAAACGTGTATTGGGCTCGCTGTTGGTTTTGTTTGTTCCCTGTGTTATAGTTGCCACCGCCGCGCCGGCAGTGCGGTGCTGCCATCACCGCTAGTCACAGCTGTCATCGCTTCTCTGATTGTATGACTGATTGATCGCGGGGCTCAGCGTTCGGAGATCGATGTAGCCATCCGTCAATGCAACGTGTCTCCATGGCTTTGGCGTGATCTGCTTTCACCACACCGACGAGCCAACCACTCACTTTGGCCCCTGACTGGTTAGGCGGCGCGGCGACGGCGATCCAATCGAACAAAGACGCGCATGGACTCCTCGGAATAGGAAGGAAAGCTCTTCTTGCACAATCGCTCGGTATCGGTCCGAGTCTCGATCGCTGCGTACGGAGTGTTCTCGGTCTGGGCAAACAACTCGAGCATGCGGAGCCTTCGTCCTTGAGTTCGATGGCTTTCTCCACGCACGGGAGCGAATTCGTGGCTCGCAGCCCCAATAATAATCATCATGTGGACGGTGCTGGCGGAGGAAGTCAACGGATCCGCGTCGTCCAGCTCATCGGAACGAGTTTTTCAAGAAATCGTCCCGGAGGACGGTCTGAGCGTGCGGATGAAAATACGAATCGTGACCCAATATGGCTGGGACGGATGTCTTTGTTTCTGAAATCTGCACTCTCCCGATACGGCGCGCCGCGGCGGGAAAACTTGTTTCTTCGCGGATAGTAATTGATCATTGAAGACTGTTCGTTACCCACTATTGGCTTCTAATTGAGTTTTTGCGCTCTGTTCGGGAGAGGGGCGGTCAGCGTCGGATCTCCCGAGCCTTCTGCCCTCATTTCCTAGTCGGAGCTACGATTTGCAAGGCTACTCGTTGGTACCGAAAATTGAAATGTTCGAGGGAGGGAGCACATTGTATATCCACAACAAAACAGAACAAAGGCTCCCAGAATCCTTTGAGACTGCTGTCGATTCGAATTTCCCCCCACGAGGAGCTGCTGTCAGCAGCAAAGTATTGTCCCGTTCGTTAAAACGCCACAACCTGTTCAGCGCCCTGGGTCGGATGGCATGGAAAAGCATATCGACTTGATTCCTATTCTCCGACTGGATGCTAGATGCCGACTGTCGGACTGAGCTTTTCGATGCTGAAAAATTGATGCGAGTTGACATCGTCGCAAGCGAGCGATTTTTTTTCCTCGACGAACGCATCCCTTCCTCGACGAGGCTCACTTGGGAGTGAGATAGAACATTCATACGGCTCGAAGTCGACCGGGATATGCGTGAGTGGTCGCCAAGAGTAGGAATTCACGCGCCTTCTGACGTGCCTTACCCGCCGAAGAATTTTCTTTTTGTTCTGAAGCCATGGCGTGGCGCATTGAATTCCGATGAGCAGCTGCGAATCTCAAGTAGCGGTTCCGTAGCATAAAATTCGACAGAATTTTATACAGAACACAAATGACCTTTGGCCCTTGGGTTTCGGCGGAGCTACAGAACAGCTGACAGCGAGCGGTAGTGGCGGCCGGTCGATCGACTCGACCATGCGATCCGCCGGCCGGGAAAATTCGGAGATGCCGTCGCTACCTCTGGATAGACAAGAAGTCGGTCCAACAACAACAACAGCAGCAGAACCATTTATAACTCCGTCGAAGTCTTAACAAAGTCTCAGATCAGCTCTCTTCTGCTACGCCCGTCGTCGTGAACCGGGACGACGTCTGTGTGGCGATGTTTTCATTCTGACAACGTCATCCTGTTTTAACGACTCGTCAGCTCTCCGAAAACTACGTCGATTGAGAATCAATTATTCTTCGTTGGAAGCCTTGGGTTCTCATGATAAGTCCCTCATTGCCTGGGTCCGAATACGACTGAATCTTTCCCTCTCGAATCGTCAAGATCATCGCCGGGAAGAGGGCTCGCAGAATTCCTGACAACGTCGCTGGAGGCTTCCAAGTTACCATGTCAGAAATGGCTAGCTGCCGGCGGCGTTGATTGACGGGTAGACCACTTGCTGAATAGGTGGGGAACGCGGGACGGGCGTAGATTGGAAGCGGGCTAGGGGGAGGGGTGGGGGCTGTAAAGTTGAAATTCCTCGTTTCAAATTCTCGTTACCTGGACACAAAGTTCGTAGCCGGCGATGGTTCGAAGCTTGACAGGCCACCGAGACCGAGGAAAACTCAGGGATCTGGGCTGGGAGTTGGGAACGTTCGGAAAATGAATATATGACGACACAACCTCACACCATCTGCTACAAAAGCGACTCAAGGAATATATGGATGTTATGTATGCGGGTGACGACATCCCTCGAAGGGCAAGACAGCGACGACGACGACGACAACGACGTCAGCCAAGGTAACGACGTCGACGACCTCAGTAAGCGACCAACGAACGTCGTTGCATCAACCGTCCAGCTGGAGCGAATACCCGTGCTCTCGGAAGAGCCGTCATCACATTAAGGTATGTGCTGCCGCTTACGGAATGCTCAAGTGAAATCAGCCGATGCTTGCCGCCGCCCCAGCGCGATACGATCCACTACGACGACGGCCAAAACCGTCGTGCTGGCTGTGTGTACGTTTTACGCACACACAACGTACGTAGTGGCACGTATTAGAAAGTAGCGTCGTCTAGTGCAAACAATGAGCAGCGAGCTACAAGATTGTACACTCAGGTAGTAATTGATCAAGCCGCTTCGACTGTAGTAGCTGTTGTCGTAGCTCGCGCTCGGCAAGAATCTGCGCGACCCGACAGGAACGATGCGGCGGCAAGCGTAAGGCAAACGGAGGAGGAGGGCAAGGCACACGACGGGGGGGCGGGGCGAGGGCAACAGAACCTGTACCCTCATGACGCATTCATCCGGAAATCAACGAGTGGACCCAGACCCCGTTACGGAAATTGCATCTCGGGCGACAGTGTTCGTCTGAAAAGGTTTTCTCCCGCTCTCTCCCTCCTGTCGCCATCCAACGTCATCGTATATCTTCTCCGCATTGCTGCTCGCATGTCTGAAATATTTTGCTCTTTTTTCCGTACGTCGAACCTGGAACCGTACTCAACCCAATGAGTTTCCCCTCGCTTGCCATTCCATGCACTATTTCAATGTCCTGTCTTTTTTCTTCTCAATAATTCTCTCTGGAACTATTTTCGAGCAAAGGATGCTTGGCGGATTCGATATGCCCCGGGCTCGCGTCGCGCAAAGTCTTTCGAGGAGCTCGCTCCGGCCTACTCCCGGCTGGTCCCAACGAAGACCGATGGGAACATGCGGCCCGTAGATTAATATTCATTCATTTCCACGGATCTTGGCGCCACAGAAATCCGATCTCAACAATCAATTTCGCGGAGCGATAATCGTTGAGGCCGCAGGTTGCGCGGAAAGCAGATATTGCTCATCGATAGGCCGAACTCATCTACAAAACACACACTGAACTATGCCTGATGAGAATTTATCTCTCCCCTTCTCCCTATATGAAATCCAATTCAGCCTCAAGCTACAGTGGGCCGATATATTGGATAGAGATTGCTGTCGTCGGCCGACCATCGAGCGGTTGCCGACGAGCGGAAGCTCCCGAGCTGAGCAAGCGATCCAGCCAACGACAAACGTCAGAAGATTTCTCATCAGATAGACCCGACCGGATCCCGGCTCTAAGGGCCGCATATTGAATTAATCTGCCACCATGATATGACAAATTCGAAATTAAATCAGGCTGGCGAATATCGAGCTCGTTTGACGAAGCGCTTCGTTAGGGGCGAGAATCCGTAGATCGATATAAAATAAGATGAACGCTAATGAAAATAATAAAAGGAGAAATCTCGAGTCAGCCCCGTGATTGGAAGAGTTACGAAACTTACTCGTTAGCTTGACTTTGAGTTTGGCGGGAGCTGTTTCTCGAGTACCCACGATGTTCTCCGCCTTACACACATAATCTCCCTGATCGTTAGCTCGCACTTCAGAAATGAGCAGATTGTCTCCCTGGAGCCGGAGTCGGCTCCGGCCCGTGCCGACGTTCACCTGGAATGTACAATGGATTAGCTGAAGGGAGAATACGAAGGAAAATGAGGGTTCGTTTATCGGTTGGTTCTTGTGTTCGTTCACCGAACCAAATACACAACGCAGAAAAAAAAACGCGGGGAAAAGGGAAGGAAGCAGCAACGAACGACAACGGCGCCGATCACGGCGTCTTCTGTCGAGTTGAACGAATACCGAAGGCATTTATCAAGAGGCTGCCAAACCAACGGATATAATCTTATCTCGATACTCCGTCAATTAAGATGTCTTCAAATGAGGGCAGGTCTTCCGAACTTATCCTCGGATCTAAGTCTCCTCATTATCCCACTTGTTCTACTTTTTCTCGGTAATTTAATAAAGATTTCCTGCCGTGATAGAGCGAGCAGCAGAGGGTTGAAAGTTCGAGTCAATTATTTTTCTCGCGGTCGCTCGACATGTGCGCATTAAAATAGCCGAGTGTTCCCCCAGCCTATGGATTCCATGAACCCTGGGACGAACTAGTGACGCTCTCCGACAGGGAGCTGGAAGTCCGCGGATTCTAGTCGATTCCAATCGCAATCGAAGGGAACACCCTCAGCAATGGTCGCGAGCGCGACGCCAGTAGTGTCGACACCGCAAATCTTTTTTTCTACCTCAGGTTCGCTGCCAGCCTTCGAGCCGAGCGAGAATCCCAGCAAGCCGGATCAAGCCAAACTGAATCGCTTGTCGGGGATCAAGCTGTCAACGGGCCGGGCATGTTGGGCCGCTCTGTCTCCTATGCGCCTTCTCCACCGCCTGCCTGCCCGCCAGTCAGCCAGCCGCTTTCTCTCTACGGAGGACGAAAATCTACGAATCTGCGATGGAAATGTCGTCGGATAGAATGCGTTCGCTAAGCAGCCAGGAACCTGCTATGAAAATACAGTCGAGCCTGCGGTCAAAGCCCAGAGCCTCGGAGATCAGCGAAATATGGAAAAAGGATGTTGATGCCGCTACCGATGATGTTGATCATGATGAAGAGCTATCTGCCGCGCGCCATCGGGACTTCTAGAGGGAGCCGAAGAAAGAATATGCCCAAAATGGTGGCGCTCTTTCTGTTATGATGAGCAATTAGCAAAAAACAGCTTCCGCTCTGTCATCATCGATTATCGTGTGGGTGAGCGAATGTCGACCGGAGACGGACGGGCAGACGAACGGACCAACTGACTGACTGACTGGCCGGCTGACCGAATGAGTGAGTGTAAGAGCCTGAATGCGAGCATGTGAGACTCCGTTGTGACCATAGAGAACACGGAGGATGAACAACTCCACCACAAGGAAGAAAAGCAACGAGCTCGATCTGGTGCAGTGCCAGAGCGAGCCAGTGCTTCCGAAGCACCAACCGACACGGCGGACGCGTTCGACATGGGGGACCAAGGAAACCTTTCCTACGAGAAACGTTCCCATGGCTGCCATGAGCACTCGTCACGAGCCGACGATAGGGGTAGCGGGGAACATACATTTGCTCGTAAGGGATGAGGGGAAAGATTCGCAGAGATGGCCGAAGCTCCTTATGAAGTGGGAAAGGAGGCGCTGAGAGCGGCCATGTAATGCACTCAACGGAAGTGGCTCGTCATGCTATGAACTCTTGATGCAAGCTGCAGATTGTACTTACGGGCACGCCTTCCTTCAGCCATTCGACGTCCGGTTTGGGAAGACCTGACGGTGGGGTACATTCGAGAACGACCGAACCTCCGATCGACGCTTCTGTTGACCTGGGCTTCACGGTGAATTCCTCCCGTAAATCTGGAAATTTCGAATTGAAAGGGTCTCAGTCGATCACGGAGCCTCGATACCCATTGAAGTCGGAAAACTTTCTGATGATTCGATGGAGTCGCCATTTCTCATTCGCATACAAGTTAAGGCGGGACCAAGAATAAGAGAAATTCCATCCTCCTACATCCGCGTGAAAGAGCCTTATCGATCCCATTTCGAGTCGTGTACGCACATATGAGCATTCGTAAGGATGGCAATGTGGGCGAGAAAGTTTCGACACCTTTGCACTGACATTCATTCGCGTGCCTCGCCGCGTTCCGGCCACAAGCGAAAATTGTTTTGGCAGCTCTGAAGAATTATTCGCTACAAATCGCATAGCTCCGTGTTGAGCCCGTACACGTTTCAACGGGATTTCGCATTGACCGTAAGTCGATACGCTGAACTCGGAAACGGCAATCGTCGAAGACCACCCACGGAACGAGATGGGAACGGTTCAATACCACTGCTCGCTCGGGCTGGTCTGGTCGCTCTGTCGGCTGGAGGGCTGCTATGAAATATATTTTCCTTCAGTTTTGGGATATCGAAATACACGACTAGACGCGACTGGAAGTCGAAAAGAATGACAGCAGCCACGCTCGCCGAGCCCCCGGACGACCACCGCATCTCGTGAATCTGACACGATTCCGACGACGGCAGTGTCTGTGACCTCTACGGTCTCGAGCAAAGAAAAAATACAACGGCAAGGAGCCAAGTAAACAGCCCGTCCTACTCACATGCAATGTTGAGCGTCGCGTTGTTGCTGCGTACAGATTTGCCGTTCTCAGCCACTCCTTCGCACCAATACACTCCTGTGTCATGGGTTAGCACCGAAAGGATGAATAAGGTGCCCAGCGAAACGGTGGTTCCTCCGTTGGAAGTGACAGCTCGGCCTTTGTGGAACCAATTAATGCGCTTCGCACCTTGCACGTTGCAGCTCAGCTGAGCAGGGTCGTGCCTAAGCGCTACGACGTCCGAAGGATGCTCGATGACGACTAACTCCTCTGGAAGGAGAAAAGCGATACATTCTAATTAATGGCTGTCTCATATTTATTATTTCTATCAATTATTATCGTTCCTACAGGCTTGGTCTTCAGGCCTCATTTATCAGAGCAGAAGATACCTAATTAATCGCTTATCACTTGTCGGATTCGCCGGCTTACACTAACGATGGTCTGCGCCGACTCCCCTCACGACTTGTCACTCGTCATCCATTGAATAACGCTTGCTCGACACAGATTCAAAGCTATCCGCGCAGTCAGATAACTCTTCGGGAATTCCGGAAGTCGAGGACAGACAACGATTCTCATGGTGGTCGTAGGCGTGGCGCCCGGCGGGAGAATACGACCGGGCGGAAGGTTTAGGGAAAGCTCGGGGGTGCAGGAGGAGAGACGGAGTACCGTTTTGAATTTGTTTAATAATCCTAGCGGCAGTCGTTAGCGCTAGTTAGCTCGCCAGAGATTGGTCATTAGGCCCTCATGGCGTAGCTGGCGGCCTGTGCGGCTCTGAAATTTCAACCGATGGCGACCGGGATGTGCAGAGATTGTTCCTCTTCCGGTCCACAGTTCTCTTTCGGAGTGTTCGCCGCTGCCGTCTCTCCGTGATGCGTCCACCCGTTTCGAAAACTTCGCTCGAGCGGCAGCGATATGCGAAATGGATTCCGGCGCTATGCGCGGTACTTGATTCTTCAGCTCTCACTTATCAATCTTCTGCGCCAGGATCATAGAATTCGGGAGAAATTCCACTAAAGATCGATATTTCAGAATGGTTTCTTATTCCGAATGGAGAGCGTGCTCAGTCAATTTATGTCTCGCTTATCTCTGCCTCACTGCGAGTTCGTGTGTCGACGACGCGCCACGCGCGAAATCGGTAGCCCAGATTTAAACGACCCACAGGGAGCACCAACAGGAGAAAAATGATCGGCCGGCGGGTCACACTCGTACATGGCTCATAAGTTTTCTGTGATCCGACTTGAATCAACGATGCCTCGATTCCGGCTCCGTTTCGGATCATTCAGAAGCCGTATCGCTTTGTAGCGACCGTAAAAACCAAGATACCGAGGGAATAAATTCTGACATTACAAGCAACTATGCATTTATCGAGGATTCCTATAAACGTATTCTCGATCCGGACAGGGTAGATATTCTACAAGTCTACTCGCTAAGGCCAAAACTTTGCCGAAGAGCTTGTGGTCGAATATTTCCTCCGACGGTTGTGCTCACGTGGGCTTAGCAAGATATAGAACGATTGAAACTTGGGGACTTTGTCGGGACCGTGCCTTAATGGGCAAAGCAATGCACAGAAACCGAGTCCAAAACGCGGCATTATCAATCAAGAGCAGAGGAATAGAAGCAGGAAAGTCATTATTATTTCCAGAATCACATCGCGCTAGTCGACGCAGCCTTTCGGTTATCCGCCCTTCATCAAAATCCTGTTTCATTTCAGAAGGGAATCGGCTTTACTCGCTCGAAACAATCTCTGATCCAGATGACGGCGCGGACACAGGGAAATGTCGACGGGCGGATCACGGGGAACAAGAGTGTCATCGAGAAAAAATCTGGAGAAAAACCGCTTAATGTCCATAAATTTCCTGCGAGCGATAAGCGCTCGCCTCGTGACATCAATCCCTGTCCGGGTATTCGTCTTTTGCTCTGCGTAAACGCTCGCGGCCTCGGTTAGTGCTCGGAGGAACGCGATCGACCGCGCGTATTCGACAACGGCACGACTTCTCATTCTAGTGGTCTGGATCAGTCTTCGGTGCTTGTGTCGTTCTGCCACCGAATAGGGACGGAGTCTAGTCTATCGCTGATCCCCTCATCCAGAACCGCGGAAATTCCAGAGGAAATCTCTGAAAAATCAGACTGCACAAACGTTTTGCTCGACGTCCATTCCAAGAGAAACCGGAGTATCTCCGTGAGGATGAACTCAATCATGGAAAACTTGCATGGCCCGTCAACGTTAGCGCCCCCGCAGGATCAGATCTCGTGTCCGAGTGAAATTTCAGTGTCAGGTCCGACTGAGCTTCAAAACGAGGATCTCTCGCTCGCGTAGGATGCGAAAGACGAATGTCGTCTTCCCTCATCCGCTTTCGCACTGTGGGGTTTCGTCAGCTCCCGCCTTCGCGAGACGTTCATTAAAAAATCCGAAGCGATATCCCCGATCGGAATAAGGACAGATTCTTCTTCCCCGATATCAGATGTCATCATTACAGCGACCGGGGAATTTCCTTGCTCATTGTCGTCTCCACCACGGCTTGTGTTTATCACCTCGGATGGACGCGCTGGATCGTCCATCGTGCGACGAGCTAGTCGGTTCGAGTCGCTATTCCTCATAGAATGTCATTCCATCATCGACCAAGGTCATCGTGATTCCCGTCACGCTGAACGTACTGACTTGCTGCCGCTCTGTGAGATTCGCTCATTTGCAGGTTCCTCGCTCGAACCTCTCGGATGCAACGGGCTAGATGACTCCCGGAATCAACAGCCAGGGAATGCCGGAGAGTGAGCCCATGCCATTCCCGGGGCTTCCAGCGGTCCGAGCCTCATCAAGGACACAATATTCGAGACTCGATCTTCAGGAATGGCGACTGTTTGTTTCTTGCCCGGGCCATTTTTCCCGAATTCGATGTACACGTGTTCGTCTCCATGCTCCAGCCCTCGGTCCTGCCTACTTTCTCATGCGTATTTCAGTGGGCAGAGCATCGGTTGCCTGGCCGCTGCGATGTGAGAAACTGTAACATCTACTCGATTGGCGGAGCCGCTCGAGCCCATCGAAGAGAAAGCAGCACAAGAGACGGCTCCTGTCAAAAGCCTTAAACCTCAAAAGTGCCATCAACGAATGCGCCACCGCCGACTACGAAAACTGACGAACGGACCGACCGACGTCGCTATTCTTAAATAGCGACATATGGCAGCAGAACAATTGTTTCTCAGAACAGCGCTGCTGCTGTCAGATCGGCAAACCAACTTGTTTGAATCTCTCCCCCTATTCCACCTCTTTTCTCTCCGTTGCGCGAGTTTTCTCCTTTCGGATGCCAAAACCCAAATGGAATCAAGCATCGACCTAACTCCGTGTTGTCAGTGTGGCGGATGACTGGTCGGCTGGTGGGTTGCTTGACTGACTGACTTCTTGGTTTTCTTTGACTGAGAGAACAGTGACTTATTCCTTTGGTTTCTCTATATTTTCCACCATTCCGCGATCTCTCTCCGTGCTATCTGGTCGGGTAAGCATTCGCGGAATGTTGGAAATTCGTTTAAAAGGGTCGCGGATCTTATTCTCGAACGAACTTCTTCTCTCCAGCGCATGCCGAGGTCGGATCGGATCAGATCCGGGAAGCACTGAATTCTCGATCGGAACCAGCGGCTTGAAACTGCCCGAATCTCGAGCCCGAAGCCCACCGCAGGAGCAATAATTTTGTTCGCGCACAGGTAAGGAAGATGTTATAAATCGAGTATACAGCTGCGAAGATTAATTCGAAGTAATCCGCGAAACGAAGGCAGCAGGAGAGATCATAACGGCATCGATGATGATGATGCACGGCTTCACTTTCACATTTGGGCAAATTGCACTTAGAAAAGCGAGAAGAACGAAGCATCGCTCAGATTTTTGGCAGCATCGGTTCAAACGGAGCGAAGGACGATCGGTCGAACGAGCAGTCGATACGTCAAGTACGGATGAAGATTGAAGACCCACAGGCGAGCAAGTGGTCGCGGCCGGCCCGTCCGTGAATCCGCGCGGACGATGGAGCGGTCGAACGAGCGACCGGCACCTCGAAGTCTTCATCCGACTGACTTGTGAGACAAACTCCCACTAGTATACGAGGAGGCGATGAGGCACCGGATTTCGAAGGCATTTAGGCAACAAAGCGCCAAGCAACAATAACTCCATGTATTTTAATGCGGCAACCGTAGACTTTCCTGCTTTGGCAGGTCGTTGCCGCCAACACCGCGCCGCCCGACCGGCCGCCATTAGGTTCTTCTCGCTTGGCGTCGATTACGCCTAAAGGCTTTGATGCCAAAATGACGGATCTGTAGTAGCGAGATACCGTGGTTGACTCGCGAGACGACTTGCCGAGGCTCGTCTCTTTTGGACCGGATCGCAATTTAGCCGTTCGGTTTCAGAAAAACTGCTCTGGGAGAACGGGATATTTCTCGCTGGTCTTTCATCGATCGCTGCGAGACCGGACAAGTTTGCTTTCCTCGTACCCAAATTAAATGCTGATGACTCCGGTCTCGCTTAGCTCCGCGCAAATAAGCTGACCTGGGCATCAACACTTCCGATCTGCTATCGAGAAGATGTTAATCACGCCTAAGCCAAAGGAGGAGTCTAATGAGCTGCCGACGACGCGGGAAGGATCTCGAAAACCTCTGGCCCTATCCGAGAAAGCTTGGTTTTATTGGAGACTGCCTCGATATCCGATGCGGAGTCGGCGCAAAGGTCTCGAAGAACGTTGAGGCAAACGGGAAGTTCCGAGCAGCAAGACGGAAGCTAATCCCGGAGGAGGCTTCAATGAGGAGCTTGCTTGCATGGGAGCGTACCATGCCGGAGAAGCATCCGAGAGGCTTCCGAACGTAATTCCGTCTCCGACCTCACTGCGGAAACCAACAAGCGCCACGACTGGAATTGCGTCAGAGTTGAATCGCTTTTTTCCCATCCGTGGCTAGCTGATGACCTCGGGTACCCTCCGAACAGCTCATGGGCCGACCTTTGAAGATGTCGAGACGGGCTTTCTGTTTGAGTAGCCCCGATTGAAAGATCTCTGGTGACTCATTGACTGAGACACGGATCGAGAATGCAGATAGAATCTGAGGGACGAGAAAACGAGTTTACGGCTCCGCCGAGAAAAAGCCAATTATACATATATACTTCCGAACCCCAGGCGGCGAATGGATACGAAGTCTGTTGGAATTCTGAATTCAATTAAACGCCCTCAGCGAGGTCCACAGTTGGGAGACGACGGCACGAGCACGTTGTGGAGCGTGAAACTTGCTCAAGCACGGAGATTTTTCAAGGTTTTCCAAGGTCAGGCTTCTGCTCTGATCCGAGCCGTAGGACTCGAACGCCAGCTGCCGGTTACGGCCGCTCCAACAGCTTAGCCACGCGACCGGGCGCATCTTTCCTGTGTTCCGCCACCTGACGACATATGGACGGGCGAAGATGGAGGCTCAGAGACCACCGGACAGAGGGACAGAACTTCTGGATTCTGCGGTTTCAGTTTCGTCTCGACAAACGTTTTCTTAGCTCGACACACACGCGGCACCGGCCTGGTTTACATTCCACAATCTGCTCCGCATTGATCCGGCATCGAGTTTATAAAATATTCGGGTATCCTACGATCGGATATCCTATCAATGATTTATGGAGGAATGAAACACCTAATATTCGGATGAACGTCTGATTCAGCGTGAAAACAGTCCGGTCGTGTGGATCGCGGCCCAGAATCCGGCAATTACGACCATGAACATCGGAGAAGGATGCGGGGATTTGTGAAATGGGAGAATTCGGCATGCGAGTTGATAGTGAGCGGATTAAAGGTTTCTATGACCCGCGGGCCACGGCCTATGTTTTTCCAACCGCTCCGTGGACTTCCTCCACTCCGAGTCTCGGAGGCACACCATCCAAAACTGCGTCGAATTCGGCTGAGGTGTGTCTATGCAGCTTTCGGTTAGATCCATTCATCGGAGCTATCCGTGGAAACGGTCGGAATTCCGAATAAAATTTCCGAGTAGAAAGGACGGTCCTTTCGGAAGAATGGGCTGGGGCTGAATCCATCCCGCCTGCGGAACGTTTCCGTTCCCGGCGGCTCCCTGTTAGAAAAATCGTCAGACTAAAGAGGATTTACAATAAATTAATTTTCTCGCTGGTGCATCAGCGAGCGTGCAATGCAGCCGCGGCTGATCTTCTCGGAATCCGACTCGGATCCGATTCGTGTTCATCCGAATTCAGGAAATCCACCTCCCGGACTGAATTTCTCGCCCTTCCCGTCGTTGCGTAATACCGGTCTGATTGTGAGTGAACCGTCGACTGCCTGTCACACCGGTTGACTGAATCGTCGAGACTGCACGGTAGCTACTCCAATTTCTCAACCACCTCCGCCGGTCTGTACCGGGAAGAAACGTCCCTGCGGCTCCGGAAGGCTATCGATCGCGCGGAAAGCAGCAATTCAGGTTTCGTGAATAGGAACGAAACAGGCAGAGGGCGAGAGGTTGCCAAATACGCGAAACGAACCCCATAATTGAGGGGCTCAGCGGTGCCAATGCCGCACTCAACTTTCGGCGAATAATCAAGCTATTAGGAGCGCCAATACCGACCAGACCAACACCTTCGCGAGGCGTATTGAGAAGGAACGCCTCCCATCCTACCGAGTCGGCAGTATGCATCGGAAAAGGACAACATGGCACCGATGAACAATGGCGAGGGTCGGTGCGAGCTGACGGTTCTGCGGGCGGGCGGGTAATTACAGGGGAACAGTGACACCTAAGAATCGGAGTTTCTGACACATGAGTAATTTCGTGCGCTTTGACGTTGAAAAGTTCCAACGTGACCACCGGGCGCGTCAAAGTCAATGACGACCGACTGACGAGGCGGGTCAGTCTCCCTGCAACCTACAAGGCACGTCCAAATACGTCCGGAGGCATCAGCTGACGCGCGAACTCGTGTATACGAACGGAGGACAAACATTGCTCACAAACCTCCGAACGCTAATGTGGGGCGAAGGACCCTCATTGACTTCGAGGACGACAAGCTTTCCTGATGTTTCCGGGTCTTCTTTTGCCTCGTGTGGGTGCGCGACTGGACAGGGGAAAAGGGAACGGCGTGTGACTTTGCGTATGCGAGAGTTAGAGTACGAGATGTTGTTTGCAGCTGGGACCAACCCATTACGGCTGCTCACAAAGAAGCAAAACGAGGAGACGCATAAGCCACGACGCGACGTGCCCTCAACGTCCTCCCTCCGTCAGACATCAGCCATCGTTCCGTTGGCAAACCAGTTAGCCAGGGATGGCAAGCGGCTGAGACAGTCTCTAACGAGCAAGAAGCCGAAATATTTAATCAATGCCGTGTCTGTACACAGGATTCGCTCGCGCTTGAAAATTCCCGCCCGCCTCCTCTGCCCATCTCTCGTCGACAAGAGCGGGCTCAAGGAACAGGAACGGATCGACGACGAGAACGAGCCGAAAACATGGCTCCTGGTCTCCACCCAATAGATTCTGTTCGCGCGACAGGCCAAGACATCTGGCTTGTTTTTTTTTCTCATTCCGATGTCGTTGGACTAATGATGTTATAATATTCGATAGCGACGTGAAGGTCGGTGCTCGACCCAAGGAGGACCTAATCTGAGTGATCAAGTTTTTTGGTTTATGCGACGCGAAAAGGAGAACGCCACCGACCGACGTATGAAGGTCGACGGCTCGTGCAGCTTCAATGTCGAAGGACCTCGGAGCCCCGTACTGGTGAGGAGACCTGGTGGTCTGAGTTAGCTTTGTACGGCAAGCCATCGCCTAAGCGGTGACATCTCTGCTATCATGACCGACGCAGCATTGTTTTTAGATAAATTTTTGTGACGGGTCTCGCGAAGAGCTTCGGATAAAAAACCGTCTGCTACTCTCTGCAAGATTTCTTCCGGAGGAATGACTCTTTGTTTTGTGCTGTGAGAGTCAATCAGCGTTCGGGCAGCCTGCGTTCGGCCAGACTGTACTAGAACTATTTTTTCCATGCTTGAGAGTTTTTTCCACCTCTGCCTCAAAATGAGAATGTGACTCTCGGGTTGTTCACTCAGAGCGTCTCATGAGGATTGTTTCGTTTTCCATGTTATTTTTTCTCTCGTGCCAATAAATCATGAGTCAGGTTCGCTTCCGAGATCTGGTCCTCCGTTTGCTCACATATTTCCCGTCTCCTCCTGCCGCGAGAGACATCGGTTTATGTTACCGAATAGTGGTCTCTCTCAGAGAGTTTGGACGATAAGGGAAGATATGTTTCGGGCAAACATCGTGAAGCTTTCATAGAAGATACCAGCGGTCGAGATCGCCGTTCAGCTCGGAATCTTCGAACATATGTATGTGAATATCTTCCACAGTGTTCCTTTCCGACTGTTCGACGATTTACTGGGTTTGATTAACGTTGGTATTGCGCTCGTAATCGATCACAAGCGAACGACGCCGATTCACGTCGAGGTCCGTCGGCAAGACCATTCGGATCCTTACCGTGTCCAGATCCATCGATCACGAAATTATTTTCCGGCGTTCGGGCCATAGATACTTTTTCCATTCATGGGGGGTAACTCGTTGAGATTGAGCGAGGAAATTCCTCCGCTTTTTCTCGGAGAGCAGCTCCTCCGAACACCACCATAGTGGAGCTTGCGGCACGCGGGGATGCCAGATGCGATCGAGGAATGGTTCGATAGAATTATCACAAACGGTTGCTCTCAACCGATATTCCCAACGTCGCGCGCCGGAAAAACCGTCGCTTCGACTCCTTGTGGCGACATAAGCGACCCCATTGGAGTGGTAATCGGAAAGCGATATGACGATATGACCGTCCATTAATCGTCCCGTTCATTGGATAAGTATGATTGTCAATTACTAGGTGTCAGTAGGTGTCGCTTGCAGCTGTAGGAATCACGTTGCAGGCTGGAAAACCCAATATTGATTTACCTTTAGCGGCTCGGACGTGGGTAATCAAGACGAAGAAAAATAATCGCGGTGCTAACCAAACCGGAATCATTGCCACAGCAAAATAAACGTATCCAATCGGATAACACTCAAATTCTGTTCGGATCAGTCAACTCATGTTCACCCCGCCGCCTGCTTGCGAGCGAAATTTGAAAGATCACTGCACCACCTGCACGGCACACGGGCGAACTAATAAGCACGAGACTTTAGTGTCAACGAACAAAGTGACAAGCTCCTTCCTCTAGTTTGGGCAGCTCGGTCTGATTCGCGGTTTGGTTCTCTGCTCCCCTCAGTACCGAAAGCTGAGTGGGAGAGGGTCACAGGCAATTCGGGAAGGGCAGAAACCAAGTGGGCGGCGGTTGTGGTCCCTGTCAATGTGTGCCTGCCTGCTTGTCCGAAAGCCGATCTGGCTGTTCGGTTGACTACCTGTGGTCAGATTTCTCCCTAACTTATTTTTGGTAAATAAGATATTCTTCGATTTCTCCCACATCGCGACTCCTGCCTCGGATAGAATAGTCGCGCTTCCCTCCATCCCGAAGTCCTGTCGATAGCGGTGCCCTTACCCTCCCCTTCGGTCCTGACGGTGCCATCGATGAAGACGTTCAACTTCGAGGGCTGGACTCCGGAATTCGTCGACGGCGTAAGCCGCCCGGGGATGACATCGGAGCCTTGCCCTTCTACCTGTTGTTGCTCTGAAGGCGCAATATCGATTGGCGGCTCGGACAACGTCATGAAGCGATGGCAACATGTGGTGCGCTAGCTCGATCATGGCCCTGAGCGCACGTCATGAAGTATCGTATGAAACGCACGAAACGATTGCGTTTCGAGACCCGGGCGAGGATGGCTCGCCTCAATGAACCCCCTGTCGTCCTTGGGGCCCCTGATCAGAATAGAGTCTTCTGCCCGCCTTAGAGCCCCAGAAAGAGACTTCGGGGGCTTCCACCTCTTGTCCAAATTCTACGGCACGTAGCCCCAAAGCCAATAACTTCCCTCTCTCCGGTTTCCATTTTACTCCGCGCCCGAACTGCGCCGTAGTTTCCCCGTGTTTTTTCACGATCCCGAGCTGAACTAACTCGCCGACCCTCCGGAGATTAAAAGTTTCGAATCGAGCATTGGTCGAGTTCATAGCAGGAACGGAGTGATTCTTCGCTTGGATAAATCATCGTGCAAGTTCAGACACGCCCACCCGCGAAAGCTCGCCGCCGAGCCCCGAATCCGAGAAGAGTTGAGCTACCTGACTAAGTTACACCATCGGGTACATTACGATGACTAACAGAATTCATGCCACTTAACCTTTAATGTGACTGAGTGAGTTCGCTCGCTCGCCCACCCGTTCGCCCGCCTGCGTCTATGGATGTGCTTGGCCACCTGGGACATGCGGGTCGCACGAGTTTTGCAACAAGGATTTTGAAAATGTGACTCATGTGTGACGCTGCGCTGCATTTAGTCAAGTCGCCTTTTGTGCGATTCAGATAAATGACACGTGGAAGAGCGAGTCCAAACTCCTGTCCGAGATTAGAGATTAGTAATGCCAGCGCAAGCTCCGGGATTTTGAGGAAAACAGAGCGGGACAGTCGAACGATTCCAGCCCCTCATGGGTGGCGGTATCGGCGAGCGAGTGGATGCTCCAAGGGGAGCGGGTTCGCATTCTCTCTCTGCTCTCGTGATTCACCCGCGGAAAATCGAGGAAACCGCATTCGCTAGCTCCGAATTTACAATTCAGTACTTTTATCAGTTTGGATGGATTCTTCGGAATCATCCATCGGAGACAAGGATCGCGGAGGCCAGAAAGGAGACAGCTACCTTTTCTCGCTCTCAGATTGCCCGAACGGTGCATTTCGGTCGGTGCCTCCCATTCACGGTATTGAGTTCGGCTGTTGGTCGTAGGTCCATTCGTCCATTGCCATACGCGGCTCCTGCCTCCCCGACCGAAGATGGTGAGAAAATATAGTATTTAGCACCGTCTCTTTGTCTAGATTTTATTTCCCTCCGTTCAACAGCTCCATCTTGATAATTCGCTCAAGCAGCAAAACTGTCCGACTCACTGAGATAAGTCGATTCCTAGATAAGTCGAGTCCACCGTTTTCGGAGCTGTCTCTCGTTTCTTCTTCTGTTTTATTTCTGCGCTGATTTTTTAAGAAGCTCCTAAAGTGGAGCGGAGTTTGTGGCATCATTAAGATAACCACCTAGTTTTTCCACCCCTCGTCGGTCGGCTCCGTCCGCTCCCTCTTCCCAACACCTGCCGCCACCTGCAAAAAAACTGCTGCCCAATACTCACTCACTGGACGGCGGAGAGAGATAAATGAGTAAACTGCAGACTTGGCAACTTCAATGTCAACACGCTGCTTCGGTTCTTACTGTCCTCGGCGACGGCCCCAAAAGTTACGCTCTCTCGAAAACGCTCGGGTTCCGAAATTTCCCAACTTCCACGATTAGCGAAACTCCGTCGATGCTGAGGAAATTACGACTGCACCTTGCCCGCGTAGCTTCTCTGCCCTAGAAAAAACCCTCAGACGTTCAGAGACGCTTTCTCTGGCTGGAAGATGATTTCTGCGGAGTCCTCTCGGCTCGAGCTCGAAAAGAGTCTGTGAAAAATATCGCTCTCAAAGGTCGGGAAGATTTCTTTCGATGAGTCCCCGATGTGATTGAGTGTATGGCGTCAGTCTTTTGCTGCACCTGCATTGTTTGTTCTCCCAGTGAGATCCCGGCTTGTAACCCGTCCTCTCATTCTTGCTCTTGACCCGTTGGAGCGATTTGCAACTGACCATCGGTGGCGGCGACTCGTCGGCACTAAAAGCCAAATGGCATTAGCCTCTCTCCATCTAGTCAGCAGGCTCTCCCGTTTTCTTTGCCCTATCTCTATCCAAGATATTATGTTCTTATGGGGTTATCATGGCTAATAAATGTGGTTTTGCCAAGCCCCGCCGGCCTGTCCCCCCACACGCGGACGACGGCGCTGTCGGTCCCCCTCCTTCCGCAGCCGAAGTTCCCGCTCCCCATTGAGCTGGGGAAGAGGGCGGCCGGGTTCGCAGGCTGGGCTGCCGAACTGGACGGCTTGTAGGCATCCTGCGCATCAACCGCCAACGAAATCCCAGAGGCCCCGTCACCCTGCAGATCAAAGAAGGCCATACTTTATTATTAGCTTGCCGTACGCCCCACCCGAGCAAGCAGATCAGAGCAGCTTTCCCTCAGGCGGCGATCTGCAAGCGCCCATTACCGTTTATGAGAAGCAAGTGAGATGTTATTCCGTTTTATGAAGACGTTCTCCTCGGCAGCAGCGCTTCCATTGTTCGAGCGGAGTTCTAATATCAGCAGGCAGCCACCTAGGCGAGCATCCAGACTACGAATAAATGTATTCGGGCGTATGTGCGTGTGTATGCGCGCATAGAAAAGATTCACGAGAGCTGTGCACAACGTCGAGCCGGATTGAAAGTCTGCAATTCTCGCGCAGGTTCCCTGATAGACGAAGTCGTGGTGCGTCGGGGTGTCTCGTCATTCATATTCGCCTTCGAAAAGCTTCCTTAGGAAAGCAGACCCGGCCGAATATGGATTTTTCCTCATTGTTCATTGTTGTCGTAGGACTCGGGGCTTGCGGCAGGGTTCGGTACATAGTACCCTGCACAAGTGAGCGGTATTTTTTTCTTGGGAAAAATTTCCTGACTCAGTCTTTTCTTGGAGCTTGGAGCGAATGCAATACGAGAGCTCAGAATGGATAAACACGTGAAGAGCTAACTCGGCCGGTAGTCGTCGGAGCAGCGGCTTAGCACCAAACCGACCCGATACCTATGATAAGAAGTCTACGTAGTACTGTGTGGTGGTAATCCCAGCTTAGATTGGGGCGTATAAATTGGGTTTGTCTTGCATCGAATGCAAGATGTGGCTGGCCAGCTAGCCGCTCTGAGGGTCCCTCCTGAGCCCCGGTGCTCCTCAATCCGCTTGTCTCAGTAACTGGTGAGTCTGGTCTCGAGGTCACTTATTAACCGGGATCTCCCGATCTTTCGATGTATCCACCGGTCCCAGGACAGATTCGGTGGCAGTACGTTCGATATTTGCGGCAGGCCTGGCGAGCCTCTCGATGGACCGGAAGGACTGGACTTGCGAGGCAACTCCTAATCGGTCATTGTATCACAGATTTCTCTTCAATCTTCGATAGCATAAACACTCACACTGTCCTCGAACCTGAATTCGGTTCGATTCGGAGTATCGGGGGCGTGTCCTGTGGAACTTTCCACATGTTTAAGGGAAACCTTAGTCCGTTCCGAGCTCAGGGAATATGGGGTTCGGCGTCGGTGTTGAGCCCTATGATGCCGCCTGTTCATTTTCGGGACGCGCTGTCACGCTGCGGCGTGGAGCTATGGGGACAATAACTCCGAGCGGAAGGCTCCCGAACTCCCGAGTGGAGTCCCAATAGGCCCCTGGGTGCGATTAGCTGAATGTGTGATGTAACGACGACTGAACTACGTACAATAAGCATGGAGTATTCCGTTTTCGATCAAAATCAGCGAGGGCACCTCGCCGACACCCATCGTCGACTTCTAGATCTCGGTCCAGACTTCGAGCCTCCGTTCCTCGCTCGCATCCCAAATTTCCGTTATCGAGAACATCGACAGAAACGTTGATGGATGAATGAACCAAATACATGAAATTATTGAGATGAAACACAAAATCGTAAAGCCCGCGTGGCGTTCTCACGGTCGCCACAAGTATGTTTCTCTTCGAGTTTTTTTTTACATTTTCGCTGCTGACATTACTAGCAATAAACACATGTGTCCGCCCGAGACTACGAAACCAGAAAAAAAAATGAGTTTTGTTTAAAGGAGAGGCCTCATTAGAGAACCGGTCAGAGCGTAGGGAAGTCTCCTCTGCCAAACTCGATCCGCTGCTGAGGCTTTGCTCGAGCCGCTCTCAGCGCTAAGGCCCTCCCTCAGGCATCCCCTGTGATAAGGTCTATCCCCATCTCCGTTCGCGACGATTTCTGACGGTGGATGTCTCAAATTTGACTCACGTAATATGAATGTTAGAATGTTCCAGCAGGTAGGAGGGCTCCTTCCACCCGCCTGTCACTTCCGACCCGGGCTCCTCCGATTAAGCAGCCACTCTCGCTCCAGGCAGCCTTGGGGAAGCATCGTCTCCACGGAAAGAAGTCGGAGAAGGAGCTCTATGCTGAGAAGCCCGAATGCTCGATCTTATCGGCGACTATCGTGAGCCGTCTCCGAATGAACGTCACACTTTCGATGGGGATTCG